TACTTCTTTTACTAATCAAACGATTCCAGTTTTCTTCTCTCCTTTACTCCGGTTTTTGTTTTTAGGTTTCATTTATGTCGGGCGGCGCTAAAGCCTCACCCCGCCCGGCTGCGACGGCGCCGCCATCAGGACCGATCTTGCCTCCTTTAGCGCGGCACCTTGCGTTTGCTACGATGAAGCCTCCGTTTCTTCCTCCTGATGATTATCACCGATTTTCTTCTCCGAGTACTAGTAGAGTCGCCGCAGATCGGGATGCTGAGGCTATTGTTGTGAGATCTCCTGTGCGTTTCAGTTTCTCTGTGCTTCTATATTTGTATAAAGATACCCGTGTGTATCTGTTTTTTTAATTAATTTTCCTTTTGTTTTTATGTTGGTGTTTAATGTGTTTTTGAGGATTGTTCGTGCGAGTATTTGATGTTAATGGAAGTTCAATTATGTCTTAAATGCGTTTTTGTTTTGTTTTGATAGTGGTGTGTTTGGTTGATAGAAATTGTGGGAAAGGAAGGGAAATTTTGGATTCTGGAAAGAAATTGGGTTATTTTGGGTGCTTCAAGATTATCAGTTATGCTATGATTGTCGTTTTGGCAGAATCTGAATGGATGTTTATTTGGAAAATTGAGTTGTCATTTCACATATCTTATTTTTGATGATGTTGGACTTGGTGTTGAATTTTGGAATTTGTTCTATTGGTATAAATATTAGTATTTGGTGGAAGCCCATTGTCCATTAAGTTCTCATACAGATACTGTTTAAGTGAGCTTCTCATGTCTAGGGAATGGAGGCTGTGTTTCATTTCCCAAACCATGTTTGGGTAAGAGGACTTAAAGTGAAAAGGAAGATAGGATGGGGTATTGAATCCTTTAAATATTCTAGGGTGGTTTGTGAATTTTGTTTTCCTTTTGTCCTGTTTCTCACGGGTAGTGTAGGGGATTGGAGGGTTTACTACAACATTACTCCTTTTATAATAAAATTCACAGCATCCTTAAGAGGGGTGAGGAGGAAGGGATGGAATTATTATCTTTTTAACTTGTTTTTCTAATGGTACTGTTAAAATCTCCTCCAAATTGTAACAATAAGGAATATGATTTTACTTCTACAGGTAAACTGCTCTTACACCCTTTAATTGAACAAGAAGAAGATATGTCACTCTCGTTTCCCCTCCCATGCATTGCAAACAAGAGGAGGGTAACACCATCGCTTTCATTTACCCTTCCTCTCACCCTTTTACCCTACAAAACATACTATAATAGAATACTGACTTGTTTTCTAGCCCATTCTTTTTTCTTAAGTATGGATTTTGGTTCACACATTAATCTACCTATATGAACTTCATTTGAATCCTTATGCTTGCTTAATAAGCCAAACATGCCCTTTTGTTAAGATCCTTCATGGAAATGCTGTGTAGCCTTTTTTTTTCTATCTAGTTCTGATTTCCAGTTACTGCATTAGTTGCTATACAAGGAAGGCTTATATGTGCATCATAGTTTCATATGATTTTTTTTATTGGAGCAGTAGTGGTGGTGGATTTTGAGGGAATGGTATAAACACTTCCAATGAACCCTGATGATCATGCATGAAATCAGTTTTCTATGATTGTAGCTTCCAACAACATATTTATTGCAGGTCCTACTCATTTTTCTATGATTGTAGCTTCCAACAACATATTTATCGCAGGTCCTACAGTATAGCAGGTCCTACAGTATACTTGGCTGTAGTCTCATTTTATGCTTTCTGCTAATTGAAACTGAATTGCCTTTGTTTTATTTTGACAATTTTTAAGTAATTACCTGTAACCTTATGTTCTTTATGGTTTTATCCACTCCTGCCAGTCATTTAATACAATGTTGCAATTTTCGGTGCCCCTCAGAAATTAAAACGGAAGAGTGGATTGGCTGATAATGGAGTCAGCTCCAGCAATCATGTTAGTAGCCCTGGATGCATTAATATATCTAATAGTCCCTTCAGGACACCTGCATCAGCAAAAGGAGGTAGGGCACACAACAATTCCAAGACCTCAAAGGGCAATGGAGCTGGGCCTCAAACCCCAGTGTCGAAGGCTGGTGAGGAATTGTATTTATAACCTTTGCAAGTTCTTTTGCACGCGTTAAGACAGCTTAGACTTTGCTTGTTACTATACAGATTATGTCTCTTCATCCTTTGAGTAGGGTTTGCATAAAGTCTTTATTGTCCAAGCATAACTAACTTAAAGAGGAACCTGATGAATATTATACGCGAACTTGCAGATTGCTCTTCTCCTCTTACTCCAGCTGGCAGCTGTCGTTATGATAGTTCGCTCGGTAATTTTTCAAATATTAACATTCAAGATGATTTCATCATATCTGTTTTCATTTTCTTGTAGAGCTGTGAAAGCTATCATATTTATTTCTACCATCTTTTTCAGGTCTTTTGACAAAAAGGTTTGTTGATCTATTTAAAAATGCCCATGATGGAATTCTTGACCTAAACAATGCAGCCGAAACCTTGGAGGTAGTCATGCTTCTGATCGAATGTTTGTAGTGATGATAATGTATCATAATTGTTAAAAGCTTTTTACTGGAACAGGTACAGAAGAGGCGGATATATGATATAACAAATGTCTTGGAAGGAATTGGTCTCATAGAAAAGACACTCAAGAATAGAATACGCTGGAAGTAAGTTGATGATAATAAACTTTCTTGAAAATTCTACTATTTTGTTTCCATGTTTGACTCCTCTAGGCATCCAAAGCACATGGGAACTCGCATAGGGATTAATTTGATTGAATGGTTGACCAGGGGCATTGATGCTTCAAGGCCAAGGCAGGTAGAAGGTGATGCAACTTTATTACAGGTAAATGGAAGCGGATATTATTTTTCTGTTCTACAAGATAACTAATTTTCTTTTCTGCAAATTATCATGGGTGTAATTTTTCTTTATCTTTCTATCTTGATGTGTGACTGCTCACAGACAATTTGAATGTATTACCCCTTACTCCATTTTTGATGATGCTCTACTCAAATGATGAGGAAATGAAAAGGGGAGGGTGAAAACAATTACTTATTGGCTTCTAATGCAGGAGGTTTATCTTGTGCTTCTTTTCCTGCAGGAAGAAATTGAAAAGCTTACTATGGAAGAGCACAAACTAGATGATCAAATTAGGTTACATGGCTGATTTTCCTGTTAAAGCAAATAATATTGAAATGTTGAATCTCTTGGATAATGCTAATGCTGTCAAAGTGTTGCAGAGAAATGCAGGAACGATTGAGAGATATGAGTGAACAAGAGAACAATCAGAAGTACAACCCTCTCCGCAAACCCTACATACTTTCAATTAATTTGAGCAGGTGTTGTATTTACTAATTATGGTACTCCTATTCATCTTCGTACAATTACAGGTGGCTTTTTGTGACTGAAGAAGATATCAAGAGTCTACCTTGTTTCCTGGTACTTTTATTCTCTCCAAACTTCATACCTGCCATGATATTTTTCCAGTCTTGATGCTGATCTTTCCTATGTTTTTGTCAACTTTCTTCTGTTTCTCATGCCAGAATGAAACCCTTATAGCAATTAAAGCTCCCCATGGAACTACTCTAGAAGTCCTTGATCCTGATGAGGTAAGTTGATAGAATAAAATTTAAAAAAGAATGGGGACTGGAGAAAAGTTGTTTTTATTTGTATTCTATGCTTCATCTGCTTGATGCCGGAGTGATTTTGCTTCTGTATGTCTCAGGCTGTTGACTGTCAACAGAGGAGATACAGGATAATCCTGAGAAGCTCCATGGGTCCTATTGATGTCTACCTTGTGAGGTGGTGACCACTTTCAAGATGGGGACATCATTGTCTTTTGAGAATCAGTTTACTGATTATTTTTGTTTCTCTCCCCTTATTTAAGTGTTTTCTGTTCTTTGTTCTAGTCAATTTGAGGAGATGAATAGTGTTGATGCGTCTGCTTTTCCTCACGCTTCTAGTTCAGCATCCCATGGAAATCCAGTGACAGAGATGACCACTGGTGTAAGAACTGAGAAAAGAGCTGATCCTCTGGCACAACAGGTTCCAACTACATTCTCTGATCCTAATGCTACTCAGGATTTAGGGGGAATGATGAAGATCGTTCCTTCTGATATAAATGTAAGTGTAGTGAACAGCGTTTTTGTTCTTATTAACAATTAACTACTCACTAAAGAGGCTTATAGTATTTCCATGGATAATAGTTGACTTCAGCATAGGTACTTACTAGATCTGATAATGATGGGCATGCACCTCTGAGTCTCTGACCAATGATTTTGAGCTTTGGTTTCAAGCCCATTTTTTGATTGCCTGGCTCAGTATCAGTTTTGTGAACAGAAAGCTGAGATGATGCACAGTAAATTTGATTAAAATGCTGTTTTTTTTTAAAAAAAATCTTTTAAGCAGCAATTAATCCTCAAATTGTAAGGATTTACTTAAACATTTTAATTCATGTAAATGTCATCTGTGAAACCTTTCTGCTGGTAGGTTCCAAATTGTTTCTTATAGCGTATATAAAACAAATAAGACATGCAGAATTCTGTTGGGTCATACCAAAGATTTTGCAGCTGCTCTATCTGAACGAATCAAAGTTTATAGTTTTTTGGTCAGTCATTTTCCTATTCAAATGTCGAAGATGTCTAACTCTGTTAACTCTATTATTCTTGTTACTCTTGCAGAACGATTCAGATTACTGGCTTCTTTCAGATGCAGACATAAGCATTACAGATATGTGGAAGACAGACTGTATCCTTGCTTGAAATTATTTCCTTTTGATATTCCAACCCCCCCCCCCAACTGCTTCCTCTGACCATGTAAGGTTCAATCATCAATCCTTGACACATTTAGCAGCAAATATAGAATGGACCGACTTTGGAGTGGCCGATGTCCCAACACCTAGGACACAAACTCTATAGCCTGGGATTATTGAAGTGCCAACTGGTGTGCAAGCTCTATTCTGAGGTAAATATTGATTTATCCAATGTGCCAAGCGAAATCCTTTTTCTACACCTATCTGCGCCCTATGCTCCTCAAATACTCAAAATGCCAATGAGTGGGCCGAAGAAAAACAAACCAGGAAAGTGTTAGAAGCTGACAAATGACAATCCATGGTTAATGCTATATGGTAGAAATTGATATTTGTGGTCATTTGAAAGCAAATTAAAGGGAAAAGAAAAGGAGGAAGTTTTGTTTGAAATGGTGGACATTCTGGATGGAACTGAGTCTGGGTGTATCTTATGATGCGAGGGCATACACAACATAGTTAAAGTACGTTTATTATTTCATCATACATGTACATGTTGCTATCGTTGGTGCTTTAGTTTGTTTAGCGATGGAATGCAACAGATCTTAGTGGCATGCTCTAACAATGTTGTGCGGGAACCAGTATAACTTTGGGGCAGCATTGGTTCCCGGCCTAGAATCAGTAACATTATTTTAATTTTCTGGTCCCAAGTTGTAAACGTTAGTTTCCATATTTCCTTGGATGGAAGCATGCTGCTTTTGTGGCTGAAGTTTCTTCCTGGAACATCATACTTGAAAATTTTCAAGTGATAGTTGATTGAACTTCAATCACTCAGTCATGTTTAACATTTTTAGTTCTTTCGTTGACCCCTCCGCCTACACCTTACCTTATTCCCAATTACTCCCAGCACCTATTCTTTCAGGAATAGAAAATCACAGAATGGCAAGAGGAAATACTACTATTTATTAAGATTATAAATAGCATGTACCTTCCTTGAAGATCGGCACCAATGGAATTTGTGCTTTATTCCGAGGAATACATTATGCAATCAAAGATTCTTAGTAAGCATTTTAAGTTTACTCAGTGCTCATGGTAGACTGCTGGTCATCTGCTCAGTCACTTTCGTGTTCAAAACGCCTAGGGGCAATGGGAGTCCTGACTGTTTGTACAGTAGTGTTGATTTTACATGAATTTTTCTTTGGATGCTTATTTTGGCTAATGAAACAGGTACTAAATCTTGTCTTTCTGGGCACGTCAGTTTTTATGTTGTCAATAAATTTACTTGGGGCTTAATTTGTGATGAGGTGACTTATCAAATAAGGAGTGGGATTCTGGAGCTTAAATCCTAAAAAAGGAACTTGGAAAAAGGAATGGTGTGGATTTAAATGTACCGGGAAAGCAGTAAGCAAGATCAATAAAGTAGAAAAAGATACAGCTTGAGGGAAGGGTTTCTTTGGAAGTGAAATGGTTGTTTTTTGTCAGGGAATATATTAAATCTTTTTTAAAAATTTTTATTAATTTGAATACAAAATTTTTAATTTTGATGAAAAACAATCGACTTAGTATCTTGTTCTATTTATGTTATTACTAATTGTTAAAAAAAAAAAACTGAATTGTTTGGTTGGTGAATTCTAATTAGAATAAAATCTTTTTCGCCGAATAAAATTATATCTTTTGCTTATCAGCACACATCTTATCAGCTGGTAGATGCTAGATTTTATTATTATTATTATTATTATTATATCAATCAAGGACCCTTCTGGACTTTTACGATCGAATCGATTTAAGCTCGTTCCCTACTGTAATGAACCGTTATTGTTCGTTGCTCCCGACACGTGTTTATTTTAAGAATAAAGAAGGGAACGACAAATCAGCTAGGGTACTCCAGGTCATTTATTGATCTAGACGACCATAAGTTACCATTTGGAGTCCAGCTCAGCACCACGTAACCTTAACATGCTCCACGCCAGATACCGGGTCAGTGCTTCCTTTTTCTCCGGTGTTTTATTCTGACTTCATTCATATCCAGGCAGGCGGTAGCTTCTTTGGCTTTTACGCTTTGCTAGAGCCGGACACTGAACTTGTACGTAATTACGGTGGCGAAACTCGAAAGCAAGCGTTTGAGTATCATCCTGGTTAACTTTTTGGAAATAAATGGCTGTTGGAATTGGCGGATTATATTACATTATTACACGAAAGCTAAAACTGATGCTGGTATTTCTGTGCTTCATTACAATATTTTAATTATTATATTAACGCTTGCCATTTCTTCTTTTAGCTTTTTTTCGGGACAGGGTGGCTTTTTTCTTCATTATATAAATTTATTTTAAGAATTGAGTAGGGTTATTTTAGTAATTGTGTTTTAAAATGCATACTAAAATAACTAATGTAACCCTAGAATAAAATAATCCAATTCTTTCTACATAGGGATGTTTTTGTATGTTCAAGAGAATAATGAAATTACTACATTATCCATGTCATTCCTGTTTTTTTTAAATGAATTCAGGGGCTTAGTAGTAATTTTCTCATGTTTTGTTATTGTTGATTGTTCTTAGTATTTTTGGTTTTGTACCAATAAAAACAAAAAACATACATGTGCATGTAAAACACCTACCAGCATATCAGCCGTTTCATCAACTTTAGGTGATGTGTATGGCTAACTCCGCTGGCTGTAATGGCACTTCTGCAGCAGCTTGTGATTCGTCTCATCATCTTTTTTTTCTTGAATAGTGTGTGTGTGTATGGTGGTTCGGCGGGGTTTAACCGGAAATGATTTTTGTTTTTCAAAATTGTGTGCTGGCCATGTAAAAAAAATCATATTGGCCTTTCAATTTATCTTTTCTTTTCATTCAAGCCCTCATCTTTTATTTGCAACTTTTTTTATTTCCATTGATTATTTCTATTTGGATTTTATTTTTTATTTCATCTTTGATCATTTGATTTTTTAAAATTTATTTTTAAATTTAATTCTTATTTTTTGGACTGTTATTTATTTTGTTTTGAATTATTTTTTTGATTGATTTCTTTTTTTACAACTCCACCCCTCGACATTTATTTTCATTTCACATTTGGTTGTGCTTTTTTTAATTATTATTTTTTATTCATTTTCATAATGGATTGGTTTTTTACAATTTCATATTTGAATATTTAATTTTATTTGATTTTAATGTCAAATTTAGTCATGATTTTTTTAATTATTAATTGTTTTTTTGTATTATTGTTTTGTATCGTCTTTTTTTAATTTCATTTCTCGATGTTTGTTTGGTTAAAAAATTGATTTCTTTGTTTTTTTTAGCTTGCCTTTGATGGGATTACATGATTTTCACAACCTGAGCCATAGATCTATAAGATTAATCTGAGTTGATTTTTATTTTTTTAACATATTTTTTAATATTTTTTATTGATAATTGTTAAGCTTTTTATTTATAATATCATCCTAGTCTCATGCCCTCAGTCATGTGTTGAATTTGTTAGCTTGGATTGGTTGCCCTCAAGATTTTTTCGTTATTTTTTTTGGTTTGACAAGTTTTTCAAATTTATATCTTAAAATTGGCTTTATAATAAACTTCTTGATATTACATGGATTCAGGTTTTCGTAGATTACGAGCTTTTTAAGATTTGACAATGTTAGAATGTTTACCTGGGTTTACTTGGTTTTTACATATGGTTTCGATTTTACCCATATGTTTTTTTTTTATCTTTAAATTTGATCATTATTTTTTAAATTTTTCTTGTTGCTTTTGCAAGTCTTTTTTATTAATATTTTTATAGCAATTTTATTCTTTAAAATTAAATTGGTTGAGAATTATGCTTCTTAATTGAATTTGGATAAAACATTTTGGTTTGCTTTCAATAATTCTTTTTTATTTCACCTCTTATCATTTTTTAATTTATGAATAATTTATTATATTATAAATGATTTTTAATTTCACTCTCTATTTTTTTTTATCTTTCAAGTTTAATCTCGATTTTTTTATTATAAGTTTTTTGAGATATTTTTAATTTTTTTTCAAATTTCATTTTTATTTGGTTTTTTGTTAAATTGAATGATAGTTTTTATTTTTTTTCTTTATATTTTAAAGCTGATATTTTTTTTGAAGTTTGACTCTTTTTTTCTTAATTTTTCCTTAATTGGGTTAGCATGTTGTTTGATAATTTGGATAGGCTCGAATGTATTTCTTTTTATTTTTTTATTGTTTTTAATTAATTATTATTACTGTATTTTTTTTCATATTATTTAAATTATCACTAGCGACTAGCGAATCGTGTGCCACATTTCTTGTAATAGAATAAAAAAGCACAAGAAAACTCTTACCGGCTCTGCATGGTGGCTCCGGGCACTTCAATTTGACAAGCAAGGAGAGCATGACCATGGGAAAGGAAAGAAAGAAGATGCACTAAACGTGGAAAAATAAGGGGCAACACAACACCATACAAGGCTCCAAGCCGCTCAAGATTTGACCACTCAAACTCATGAATTTGGAAGAAAGCGATACTTCCTTCACCAACCCTAATATTTAAAAACAGGCTGCCGGAGAGTTTTTGGTTTCTCTAATTCGTAGAAATAGAAGAACACCACCATTGAGGATCGATGGTTTGAAAACAGGGGAGCGGTGGCTGGTTTACCACATCTTCCTACCCCTTTGGTGTCCCCTCTCATTTGTTTTTCAGATCGATGAGTATATACTACATACGACGTCTGGTAAGATAAAATACTTCAATACTAATAACCCTATCACTATCTTTTTTATTTGGTATTAATTAAGATCTGGAGAATATGAGAGATCCTTTTCAAATTTGGATAAGCATGGTGGAGTTGTTTTTTTTTTAATTAATTATCTTACAGCTTAATTAATAATTTGATTTGAATAATAGTGGTATTAATTATCTTTCAACATGTTCGAGCGTAATCATTTGATTATCCCCTTTGACAAGGAAACATGACCCTTTTAATAGCAGAGAATGAAGATGCAGCGTGCGCAAAGATAAAATATATTGAGTTTCTAAACTTTGTGGTATCTAATGTACTAATTACTAGTTTGATTTTTGGAAAAAATTACTCTAAGAATTCTATAGTTTTATCTTTTTTCCACTTTAGAATTAAGTTATTGAACATTGCATTTTATAACTTAAATTTTAAAAACAAATAACATATTATATTTTTAGGAGTTAGTGCGAGAAAAAAATCAAGAAAAAATATATATTTATTTATAAAACTATCATTATATTTGAAATAATAATTAAAAAAACCTCTAGAATATAAAAGTAATATAAAATCGCTAAAGAGTTGTTGGTTTTTTTTTTAAAAAAAGGTTATTGCTTTGTTTTTTTATTAACATGAGTATCATATCAACTTGTGTGCATCTCGATTAATTTTATAGATCCTGAAGTTAAAAATCATATAAGTCTCTAGTAGTCATAAGATTTATAAGACTTAAACTAGTGATCTTTAAAGAATAAATTTAGGATCTGACTAGTTAAACTACACCTTTTAAAATTATCATTGCTTTATTTTTATTAAAAAAATAGTTGGTCATGAATTAAATAATTATAAAAATACCATAGTACACCCCTTAGAAGTATCATTACTTTATTTTTATTAAAAAAATAGTTGTTCATGATTTAAATAATTATAAAAATACCATAAATAGTTTTAATATCTAGGAACCATTTTCAGCCATTTCAAGCCACATTCAAGCATGATTTACAAAACGAAAAATCGAATAATCTCTTTATCATCATCTCCAAGATTCCTCCTCCCTTTTCATATAATTTCATCAAATAATCTGGCCTTAAATAATTTTCAGCATAACAAATCTTCTTTCCCATTTTTACAATGATTTCATCAAATCTACAATTGAACCTTGATTACATTACTTTAATGCTTAATATATATGGAGAGTTTTTTAAAAGACTTAGTGTAACTCTCTCCTACAAACTTTTTTGTCTGTCATTTCTCTCCATAATTGTATCTTGATATTAAATTTATCATTTAAAATCATAGAAAGTGCTTCATGGGAGATATTTGAATCAACATTTATTATTGGTAGCAACTTCTTTACTAATCCATGTTGAATGTGAGATTTTTACATTTATAGGTCGAATGAAAATGTATTTTTCCCTCAAAAAGTTAATAATAAATGTTTAACTACCAGGAACAAAGGAACTATATACCCGTCAATCATAATCATCACCCATATATATGATTAGGCCCTTCCATTTTATTTATTTATTAATATATCCTTAAAAATGATATTTATGTTTAATTTTATTTTTTTTATTAATACATATGTGTGTGTATTGAAAACTTCATTAACAATTCTTGTATTTGAATATAAAATTATAATTTTCAATGAAAAAAATTATAATTAATTTGCAATTATCTAGTATTGATGCTTTTAAATAAAAAAATGCCAACTCAATTTCTATTTTAACAATAATTACCACCAAAACATAAATAAAACAAGTCATCATAGAAGAATAATTGGCATTGCATCGAGTGCATATTCTACATTATAGCCTCGATCGACTAGGTTTTTCTATTTAAGAAAAGAAGAAGACAACCAATATAGAAAACAAGGAAACACTAGACCATAGGATATAGTTCATTGTATTGGACATACAATCATCAAATACCTTGGTATAATATTTTTTGTAATTTAATATTTTAATTTTTGTGATGCCCTTGGATATGTTCCAAATTTCATATATGGCCAAAAAAACTATCTACGTGAATAAATGATGCAAGAAGAGCCGTGCTTAATCATGGATATGAGTTAAATTATCTCAATTTATGCTCCCCTCCCCAAACTAATTCTTTATTCAATGGGATTCTCAATATATAAAATTAAATCCAATTGGATCATAAACTAAAACTCGTAAATGAAAGGAAACAAGAAATCCTGATTATTCCATCCACCATAAATTAATTTGGAAACAATATAAGAAAACTTAAGGGACTAAACAACGAAGGGCCAAACATTAAACGATATGACGTGGAAAAGGATAACGACAACATAGGCCAATAATTGCAGTCAATGAACGGCAGACAGCAGCAGCATAGTCTTCGCTTCAACCAGCCTCAGTCGCCGTATTCCCATAATAAACTCCCAAATTCCCTTCTCTCCCTCCCTCCCTCATCCACACCATGAGCAACCAAGGACCACCACCACAAACACTCACCCTCCGCCGGATAAACTCAATAGCCACCTCATTTGTTATCCCCACAAAGCTCTCCCTCCACACCTCCAGTCTCCCTCCATCACACTTAGACGGCACCCTTCCTTCTCACCTTGACATCTCCCTACCCCGCCTAAAATCCTCTTTATCCTACACTTCTATCAAAGACCTTCTCCCTTCTGCCACCGTTAACTCCCCAACATCGGCTACTTCCAACACCACTTCCACCTATGAAATTCCCATCCGCAACCGCCTTGTTAAGCAAGCTGCCTGGGCTTACCTCCAGCCCATGTCCTCCTCTCCTGATTCCTCTGGCACCCACTTCCTCCGCCGTCTCTGGCTTCGCTTATCCGCCAAGAATCCAATCACTGCTTGTTTTGGGTTCATCAGCGTTTGTGTCATTCCGAGCATAACTAATGCTTTTGATCGGATCCTCCGTGCCATTCGAGTCCACTTCAACAAATAACAGTGACTCAGTGTCAATTACAGTGTGTGTATCTGATTCAGCTCGAGTCAAAGTTGCAAACCCATAAATGATTTAGAAAACAAAGAGAGAAAGATATCATGTACAAGAAGAATTTTTTTCCATGTTTTTCTGATGTTTGGATTTTTTGTACAGTTTTTCTTTTGTTACAAATCTTCTTTTCAGTGTTGGATTGGTTTTGTTCTTCGTAGCCACGTACGCTTTTGATTGAAATTAGAATCAAGGCTAGTTGAGTTGTCTGTGTCCATTGTGGTAACATATTATGTTTCCTGATCGAGGTGGACTTGCAGTCGATTGGATTTCGGGGACCCTGCAACTGCTCGGTTGATTGTGCTGCTGCCGGGCGGAGGCGGTGGTCTTTATGACCGCTTTCTATTCTTGCTTTTATGCATGGCCATTGAAGGCCACTCATTTGGCGATGGTACGGGTAGTGGGGGAGCACTAGGTTCATAGCCATTGCTCTTCTGCAAGATTGGTTAGAAATCACAATTAGTACTAACTAATTCATCAATGTTACTGTTTTTTCTGTAGTATATTAAGAGTTGTGCTTATACAAGATATCATCAAAGAAACCAAAGTGCTGTGAATGCGTATGCGTATTTTTCATTACTGATTACAGAATTGCTAATCGAGATTGTTAATCTGCTCCATTTACATTTACAATTACATGGTGCTTAACCTGTTGATTCTTCTGAAGTTGAATCCATTTCACTCATAAAGACTATAGATTAGTGTGTGTAATGAAAGATGTTTCTTCCTATAGGCACGAGATGAGAGCTATTTGTGAAGTGTTGGGTTTGTAACGATAGATGGATAAATTATGTGTGATGGGTCATGGAGCTTGAATGAGGCACAAATATTTTCAGGGATGAGACGGAGACTGATAAGTAACCAAGTTTACAAGCTAGATACCCAATGAAGAAAGAGAAGAGTGATGAAATTCGTTGGGCAGGTATGCTAAGCAATAAAGATTATTGGCAGAGCAGCGCCAAGAAGGAATAACAAATGAAATGCAACTAGTATCATGGCGCAAGGAGTGTTCGCCCATCCAAGGTTTCCTTCTCTAACATGGCAAGGTGTGTTTTGCTTGTGGAGGGGGAAGGCGTTGCTTCTAGCTAGTTTGTTGTGTGTTGATATTTATTCCTTGTGCGTCCACTTGGAATCACGGGCACTGTTGTGTTCTGTAGCCATATTTTACTGATTTAATGACTTGTTTTGAAGGAAAAATAATTTACCTTTGTTTTGCTGTTTGTAGACTTCCCTGACTGGCTCATAAAGTATTGCAGAGCGTCAAAGAATTTAGTCTGCCCCAATTCGGTGCAGTTGTGCCAGTAATAGATGGCAAAATCCCAACCTTTAGCCTTCATCTCCTGTAACTTCCTTTCGATATCCGTTTCATGCCTTGTTACAAAAGGCCTCAACATGGTCTCGTAGATAAAGCCAGTTCCCTGCATTGAGCAAGAGTTTAACGTTATAATTTGCTGAACTTGGCGAACAAAATTTCTTCCAGTTCTCATCCAATCATCTTCTGTCTTTACCTTTGTTTTTGGATACCACAAGTAGATAAAAAATGCCAGTTTCACCTCACCATACATCGGCAACCTTCACCATAAAACGAGAAGGAAAATCAAATACCACAAAAAAGGAGCTACTGGGCTTGTACATACAAAAATTGCAGAACTCAGCTTACCATGAAAGAAATACGTCCCCTATCCTCTCACAAACCGTTACAAGTGCGATAATGATCCTGCAAAATTTAATGAGAATTACACTGAAAGTTCAAGGGCTGCAAAGCATCAAGGAAGACCCATGTAATTTAAGCAATGATTTATAAGGCGTTACTATTGCTTTTTAGAAAGCGGTATCAGGATGAATGAGTGAAGAAGGAACTCAACACATGATCCCCATGACCAGCATGTAAAGATCAATCTGCTTCTCCTCCACTCGACTCAAAATCCTTTTCTTTTTCGTTTTCTTTATTTCCCAATTCGCAAGATTGATCATACAAATATTGGGAAAGAAAATAAAACTAAAATTTGTTCAGGAGACCAAGCCTGCAGGTTTGAATGAACATGAGGGGACTTACCAATATTGACACCAGAATTTAATTTCTTCAACGTCCACCTTGTTCTTCTCCACAGATCTGAAACATTCAAATGCTGGGAATGCATACCCAAAAAGCAACCTGGCAATATCAAAAAAAGAAAAAAAGAAAGGAAGTCAACACAATATTCAATTCCAACAAACATCATTCAATAAAGAGAAAAGAGCATTAGAAATAAAGTTTATTCACAGAATCACAATGACAACAGAAACATACAAGGAGAGTAAATAAAAAAGAAGGAACGAATATGAGTTTGAATAACCTACACAAGATATCTGGTGACGAGATCTCCCAACATCCTTAATCTTCAAAATCCCTGAAAGACCATTAAGAGAAAACTCTACACATTCAATCATGGAATACGGAAGAAATTAAAGAAGAAGAAGAAAGAGCGGTGAACTAAAAGACAAGAGTTGACATCCAAAGAAGAAGAAGAAGAAGAAGAGAAGACAAGCTGTATATTAATTAAAGCAAAAGAGGAAACATACCAACACCAATGAACTTGTAATGAGCTGCTACTGTAAAAACAAAAACAAAATCTTGAAGAAACTTTGACGTGAAGAATTCTTGTCCAAACTCTGCATTCAAAATATAGATATAAGAAGATAAATCAACAAAACATGGGGTTAACAATTACTTCTTCAGAAGAGAAATGGATTTTAAACCTTTCGAGAGGGATCTGTGATTCTGCTTCTGCGGATGATCGGAAACAAATCTATCAATCTGTGTTATATTTATATAGGGAAGAGAGTAGCAGTCCTGTTGTTAATTAAAGAGAGAAGTGTTATATTTATATAGGGAAGAGAGTAGCAGTCCTGTTGTTAATTAAAGAGAGAATGGCTACAGAACAAAGAATAGAATAAGATACGGAGATGGGAGAGATTTCTTGCAGTGGACGCCTCTCGAGTACTCTTACACGCAATTTTTAAAGTGGAGGGAAAGAGGGGATTTTTGGGGTTCTGCCAACGGATTCACTGTTTGGTACTTAAAAGCTTTCTGTTCTTCAAGGGTGTTTCTGTCATTTTGTTTGTTAAGGTCAAGCAATAAAAAATAAAATAAAATGGAGGCAGTTTCGGTCACTGTAATATATTCACGAGAATGATTATGATTATTTTTAAAATATTTTTTATATTAAAATAATATTTTTAAATTTTTAAATTGTTTTTGATATTAATGTATAAAAATAATTCAATATATAAAAAAATAATTTTTATAAAAAAATTAAATTTGTTAGGAACACATGTCAGCTCGTATTTCTAAATAGAATGAAGTATTTATTTTAGTTTTTATGGTTGAGATTGTGATTAAAACAATTCAATTATATATAAAATTTAATTATAAAAATTATTTTTTTTAGTTTTTTTAATATTTAAATCTCAGCTTTCATCTCTAGAACAAATACACACTTGTCATGTAACGCGGTATTCCGTGACCCAACCCTTGATTTAGCATGTGACTATTTTTTATTTTTTTTAATAATATTATTAAAAACCAAAACTTGAGTTGATTGGTAATTCCAGCATCAAGTCTGGTCAATCCATGATCGAGTATTACAACGGTGGTTCTAGTCAAGTTCCAATTAAGAGTAATTCTTTTATTTTTTAAATTTATTAATTTGACAATCTCATTTATGTCACTGAATCTGGTGGCAAATTATTCAATAAACAGTATAAAATATGGGTGTTTGTTTAAAAAGATATGTTATTCAAAAATATACCAAAATAATATATTTTTTAAATTATTTGTAATATTAAAATATCAAAATAATTCAAACGGAATCCCAAAGGTTCCCTGAACCAATAAAAGCCATCCTTTGTTCCAGCTGGATAAGAAACATGCAAGTCAATTTTGACATCAAACGTGAGAAACATGTCAACATTTTAATCAAATGTATTATTTGGGGATTTTACTATTCAAACCGCCTTTCAGTTTTCTTGACGGAAAAGTAAACTGCACAGAAGCTACTTCAGCCATTTTCCAGAAACTGACTTCGTAAACAAACAGGGCTTAATCAACCTTGTGGCCATTGACAAAGGGAATTAAGAATGACAAATTACAAAGGAAATTTACAGGTTATTCTGCGTGTTAATACAAGACTCGATGGCGACTTCTTCATTATATGACCTTGTCAATATAAACTAATTGAAAGGGTGATTAATTTAACTTATTAGATTTTAAATTTATTTTTTAGAAAAATTATCATTTCAAGTTTTATAAATTTATATAATTATTAATTTTAATAAAAAAATTATCGTTTCAAGTTTTAGAAATTTATATAATTATTAATTTTAAAATTTATAAAATTAATTAAAATATGTGCAGATGATATAAATGCTATGCTAATAAAAAAATTTAAATAATAATAAATATATTATTTTAATATATTCTTAAATAAAAGAAATACCCACCGTAAAATAAGTGCAGGTTGATTAACCACTGATTTGATACCTAAACCAAAAGTGAATGGCCGGGCATGGAGAGCCAATCAAGAGAAGAAGCTTCCACCATGCTTGCAAGTAATAATTTTCAACAAGAACCTTCCTCCTTGTTCGTACGTTATGATTTTCAAAAGATTCGTAGCCAAGGCATGATCCAGTCTTGTTTGTTTGTTTATTTGTCTTTAATATTTACACACAATTGACCATGTTTCAAATCCAAGTCTATGACTCCTTCCTTATATTTATTAAGGCTAAATATTTACATTAAGCCCCACTAATCTTTTTTCCGATCAATTAATTACGTACACTCTGATTTTAGTTTCAATATATGGCACGGGAGAAGAAGACAACGCGTGGATTTGTAAGCAATCGAGTTCTGAAGGTTTCAAGCAATTGAAGTCATGGGAAATCAATAAAAAAAAGAAAAAAAAAAGTAATTGCTCAATTAGAATGATCTTGCATCCTTTCAAGCAATGTTCATAAGTTTAGTTGATTGGGTTTCTCCCCTCTTGGTTTCCGCCCCAAGACAGCAACTCAACGAGTTGGTGAGGGTCTCTCGATGCTGCGATGCTAAAGCTATAACAGATCAAATAATGAAATATATGAAGTTGTTATCGTTAGGTCACGTTCTTCACCAACTAAATGGCATCTAATGATGAGAAAACATGTGAAATAAATTTCGAGATATGACAAGAGTCTCCACCGAGTTCTTTTCACTAGCTAGGATTGTAGAAAATGCCACAGGTAGCATCTATGGGTTTAGTTGGGGGTAGTTCAGGTTTGGTTTTTGACTCGCAAGTTCGATCCTATGCACCATCGGCAACTGGAATCACATCCATGGCGATGGCTCGAGTCACTTGACATGAAGATTTTGAAGTTACCTTCATGTCCCTGGTTTCTATGTCTTCCATGAATAAATAACTTTTAAATCATTGATATGATGATTTAAAAAATATATTTTCTTTTCCTTAACTTTTGTTTTCCTTGTGTGTTAAGTGAGCTGAGATGGTTTTTTTTTTCTTTTCAACAAGGAAGCTTTAGGTTATTGTTCCGGAAAAAAAAAGGACAGTAAAAGAAGAAATATACTTGATTGGAATGACATAGGTAGAAACATAAATATAAATCATTTATTTTCAAAATAAGATGCATGAAGGGAAGATATCTCTGGATATAATATTTATTATTTAAAAAAAAATATTTATGTAAAAAGCTTTTAATTTTAAAGTTATATAACTAAGATATATAAAAATAAAAATAGATGTTATCACTATTTTAAAATATGACTTGAAGTTTTGTCCTAGACAAGCCTTATATCACGAGTTAAGAAGATCACTTTAAGTTAATTTTATTTTTTTAAAAGATTAAAATGATATTATTTTAATTAAATTTAAAAAAAAAACTATCAATGAGTTTTTGAATCAAATTTTACTAAGGGTCGATGAAGTCGTGAATTGACTAGGTTTTTTATGGGGTTAAGCTGAGTCAATTATTTTTATATTTTTTTCTTAAACTTGAATCAATCTAAGCCTTAGCTAATTTGAATTTTATAACTTGGATTATTATACTATTATTAATTTCAACACTCAATATAAACTATAATAAAAAAATAATATCTACTTTTTTTAATATGTAAGTTTGACAATAATATATATTAAGGATAAAATACATATTTTTTATATTTTATTTTGTATTGTCTAATATCAACCAAACATGACACAAAAATAGTCATTTTATCTTGTATAGCAAATATAATTATGTTTTTGTTTTTTATTTTGTCTTCTTTTTATTGTCTTTGTCTCTTTCATTGTAGGATAATAACCAAGCTCGACCTAAAAAGGTTAATGGATGAAACCACAAATTTTTCGTTCAGATTTTATATCTTAATATAAAATTATTATTTTTAATTCTAATTTTTTATTTTTATACTAATCAAAATTGGATACCTGATGTAGATGGAAGCGAAGAATAACAAGGTTTGTCAAATCCCTAAAAGATCTAGAATACCATAACTATAAAAAACATCCAAAACATTTATTTTTTACTTATTCAAGTCTTGTCAAAAAGCTATTACAACCCTTCATATATACAAAAAAAAAAACTAGAAAACCCTATTAATACTAAATAAAAAATAAGAAATAAAAAAATTATTCTCTCAAATAGGAAAACTAGAAAGCCTAATAATATATAATAATAAAAAAATTCATAAACTAAATGGGAAGAAATAAAAATAACTGAGAAAATATTTATTTTTTCCATAAAAAACTCATGTATCACTCTATCTGTGTTAGAAAGAACTTGTCCATGAGTTCAGACCATAGTAAAAAATTATCCTCCATCACGAATATTCTTTTGTGTTTGAACCACTTCATTGTAGATCCCTAACACTTTTGTATGAGTTGTTCTATCATGAATTCTTAACACAATACTTTTTTGTAAGCTACCCTATCATAAGTGCCACCGCTAAGATTTTCAATAAACATTTTGTTTTGCGATTTCTTCCAACAATGGTTGTTAAACATAACACAATAAATAATCACGAGGAATAATTGAGTTCTAATATATGTTATCTATAACCTCCAACCAAAATAATAATGAATCATTGAGTTTTGATACCAGCTAACATCAACGAGAGTGAAGGATAACATGGTTTGTTACAAGTCAAAACTCTCAAAGACTAAGAGTGCTATAACTATAAGGAGATATCTAAAATATTCAATTATTATTCATTCAAGTCTTATGTATCAAATGTTGGGTTTCCTGAAACACATTCACGCAGTGAAAATAATAAATTTATAATATTTCAAGAGTCACAAAGATCTTGTTAAACAGATTTACAGTTGTTTAAAGTTTATATAAAGATTACCCCAAGATCATATGTTCTTTTTAGTTTTAGATATTTGCTTCAAGACTTTGTTTTTTTTGCAGTGAAAACTTAAACAAGTGTTGTCGCAGAAAATAAAGATAGATCACTAGCCCAACTAATAAAATAAGATAAGATCGGTTTTTCTTATAATCTGCTAGCAGCATTAAAGCCCAATTTTAAATGAATGGTTCTATCTTGTCTTAATGAATTAAAAAGCATGTCATATATCATTGGAAAAGTATGGAGATCTAGTTTCAAGCCCAACTAAAATCCCATCAAAATTCAACATGTAGATCCAATTATGATCAAAACAATAGTGAAAGGTTAAACTATCTATTTTGAGTCTTTTTTCTCAATCCTTATATAATGACCTTGGTTCCATCAACAAACCCTTCTTGAATGTGAATCAAATTAATCAAGGCTTGCTCTTCATTATTTATTACCTTCTTAAAGTCCACCTTAGCCAATGTATCTCGAAGAAGTCCATTAAAGGCCTCTTTGAACCTCTTAGCCCTAAACCTTGTTACTGGACCATTTGAAACCTTTAATGGATCTTTTAGTGTTTTTTGGATTCCATCACTTTTCCATCATATCTCCCTCAATTCGTGTCTTAAGACATATATCTTTAGAGAGATGTGTTCTTTGTGAAATAAGTAAGTATTTTCTCTTGGATTATTTCATACTAAATTGTTTTAACATCTTATTTATATACATGAATTGTGACAATTCAAGCAACTTTCTAGGTCTATCTCTATGGATCTTTTTTCCTAATACATCAGATGTTTATCCTATATCTTTCACGGAGAAATTTTTGGACAACCAAATATATACTGATTGGAATTGTTAAAACTTTATGTAAAAATTACTTAAAGATTAGATATTCTTTTTGGCTTTGAATATTTGCTTTAAAATTAGGTTATTGCAAACCATAAGTCATTCAAATGTTTTTCATTTAATGGTACTTTAGACGAACTAGTAGTGGGAAATCTACTAAACCCTTTTAGAAAAGAGAGATTGTTATACCTTAAAGTGCTAGCTTTTTTTTTTTTAGATGTTTCTGTATTTTACTTTTCTCACCTAAGAAAATAAGAGGCATAATTTTCTATTTATAGAAAAACCTAAAAAATCTATAAATGATAAAATATCAATTTTCCTTTAAATAGTATCACATATATCACATATATTATTTTAGGCTAATTTTAGAAATTCATTCAATCAAGATCTTACTTGATTGTGTCTACGTCTAGAATTTATAATCTCATATATTAATTACATTCTAATTCTTAATTTTTAAAATTTATTTATAATTAAGTCACACTTGTTTAATCATCTTATTTTAATTTTTAACTGATAGTTTTTATGTGTATGACTCATTAGGTTCTCTAATAAGTTGGTCTAAATATAAATCATAATTCTAAATAAAATATGATTAAATACATTAAACAATTTAATATATTATTAATCTAATAATAATTGATTTATATTTAAAAATCAAGTATAATGTCTAGCAATCTATCATGATCTCTTAAATATTAAGAAAGTCATTTTAGTTCTCAACATTATAGTCATTAAGTATTTAAATAAGATTTAAAACTCTTTTCAAATCTTATTTCATCTTGGCTAAAAATTTCACAGTCAATACTATTTGAGAATAGATGAAACATTTTTCTTAATTTACCTAGGGTGATAAATCTTCTTTTGATTACTCAAATGCTTTTATATAGCTTATATTATACCCAATATTTGCCAATTTGTTACCCTTGATTAGGATAATATATGATCATGATCAAATCATAACACTCCTTATATAAGATAATTTAGTAATATTAAATATAAGAATCCTTTACACAAATATCACATGAGCTTTAACATAAATATAAGTGATCTTTTCATATAAAGTTCTCTCACAGTTTAGTTCAATGTATATGTCATTTTGACAAGCACATTCCTATTAGTTTTAATTATTTCTCGTATCTTAGATTATAAGCGTAACTTTTTCCTTTCATAAAAGAAAGAATATAATATGCATTGATTTTAATAACTCTCGTTAATCTCTAATCTTGATAGAACTTTTACTAAGAACATTTAAAAATAATATTTTGATGTAATAAAAATCTTATAATTATAATAACTTTATAATCTCCTATACAAAATATTTTTGTTTCATGAACTTTATCTTCATTCTAAATTCATTAGTCAAATATTATATTCATTAATGAAATATAATTAAATATTAAAAATAAAGAAAGCTTTTATTAATAGTAAATATGTTTTACACAAATAAAATCGATACTACATACAACTAACCGATTGACTACAAAACAAATTCACTAACATTAAAAAGCTATTAGAACTATGTATATAGAAAAAAACTAGAAAATCTTATTAATATTGAATATATAAATAAAAAATAAAAAAACTATTCCTTCCAAGTAAAAAAAACTAAAAAACCCTAATAATACAAAATAATTTTTTTTGTAAATTAAAAAAATAAAAATAACTAAATAAATATTTTTTTTTCAAAAAGTTACTCCATCAATCCCTTATCTCACTCAACAAACTATTGATGGCAATTATATATTGAACTTTATCACTATAATTAATAAACAAAGTTTCAATTGAATTAATTAAACTAATCTAGGATGACACTAAATTATGAGTTTAACCAAATATATTATAAATATTTTAAAATTTTAAATATATAACCACTTCTCCAAACAACCATAAACATGGGGTGGGGTTTAGTCCATCTCTTTCTTTAAGTTTTTAGTCCACCTTTCTTTTCCTTTCTTATTCTATAAGTTTTGAAATTTTAGTTGTAGTTTAAAATTTTATTTTATTTATTTTTTGGTTTTTAAGTGTGAAAAAAAAGATAGAAAGTCAATGAATGACAATAAAAAATAAAAAAATCTTTTATTGGTCGTATTATAGCAACCAAAATGATTAATCTTGATATTATTGAGTTTCTTTTGATAAGAAAAGTTTGATGGTGATGATTTTATTTCTCTATGAATATAGCTTTGTTTATTTTTTATTTGATTAATTTTTTTTTTTTTTAGTGATTATAGGGTTGGTAAGTGATTTATGAAGGTTCTTATCATGCTTTTTTTGTATGTTTTTAAGTAAAAATAACTTGAAAAATTAATTTTAGGATTTAAAAAACTTAAATTTTAATTTTTCAATCACTGAAAATAGATGACAGGTTGATTTCCATTATAGATGTAATCACTGAAAATGACTTGAAAACATTATAGTAGATGACAGGTTGATTTCCATTATAGATGTCACCCATTAAAATAAAAAAGAAGTAAGCTTAGGTTTTTGAATAAGAGCCAAATTAACATGTGAGCTTGACCTGAAAATGCTTAGGTTCTTTTTAAAGGGTTAGGAATGTTATTCTATCCACGCACGAACGTTTGGTCTATATTTTTAGATTTTTTTTTAATTTTTAAAAATTTAATTAATAAAAAATATATTAATTAATAATATATTTTTATTAAACACCATTCAATTTTTTTTTGTTGTTGTTGGTTTTTGAATTTTATCTGTTTTTTTATAGAAATATATATTTTTATTATTATATAATTAAATAAAATATTAAAAAAATACAATGTTTTCAAGTGAATTAGATCCAGGAGATTATATATTTTTATTTTATATTTAAAAAAAATGGATCCACGGGCCAATCACCTCGTCTATTGATAATTGGACTCATTTATTTTTTTTCTTTCTTTTCGTCTTGTTTGGACCTTTGTGCATCTTAACGGGGCTGAGTCCTAAAGCTCCATCCCTCACTAACCCCTTGGGATGCTTTGGGATTGGCTCCCAGATGTACGGATATGTAACCTTAAACACTTTATGTAAGTGTATCGATTTTTTCTTTTTAAATATATAAAAATAATATATTTTTTATTTTTTAAAATTTAATTTTAATATCAATGAAATATTGAAATAAAAATTTTAAAAATTTTATTTAAAATATTTTTTAAAGGCAACAATTAAATCATATTATTTTTATATTTTAAAAATATTTTTAAAAAAATTTAATTTTTTTAATTTTTTTACTTTAAATTAATATTTTTTTAATTTTTTAAAATTATTTTGGTGAGTTAATATTAAAAATAAAAAAATTATTTTAATAAATTTTTGAATAAAAAATAATTTAAAAAACAATTTTAATAATTTGAAAAATAACTAGGAGTACGTATATAAAGACGCTCTAAGTTGTACCCTCGTTTCAAGTAGTCATACCAACAGCTGGCATTTTGTCCGTCCATATATTACAATTAAGAGAGATCGATCAACACTCATTTCATTAATATAATATAATATAATAAAAAAAGAGTTAATATTATTAAAAAGAATAAACAAAGTACACGAAGAAGAAGAAAAGGCAATAAATGACCTGTTCATCTTGTTCCCTTACTGCATCTTTCTCACAGTTCTTCACTTCCAGAAGGTATCCATTAATTACAATATCCGTTTTCTCTAAAAGTAATAACTGGGTAGTAAAATTTATGATCATCCAACTGTAGAAGCCGAGGCAGAGATATGAGTTGTCCGACTTTGCTGCTTTCTAATCCGAGAAAGCATGCTACTTTACGACTCTCCAAAGTTTCCGGGTATTCACATCTCCTATTAACTCCATTCTTTTGTTGTTTTCGGTATTCAATTATGCATTAATGGGTGCTCTGATTTTCAGTCACACAACTGAATTGTTAGAGATTCAATCTGATAAACCCACCTTTCATGTTCTCTTTATCCCTGGAAACCCAGGTCAGTCCATGCCTTTTGATGTTTGTTAGAATACAAGTAGTAGTAATGGAGAGTTGGATTTCTGAATTATGTGGATTTGTTCTTCTTTTCGTTTGTTAATTAATGCAGGTGTTGTTTCGTTTTACAAGGATTTCTTGGAATCCCTGTATGAGTTGCTTGGTGGAAGTGCTTCTGTTACAGGCATTTATCTGCAAATGTTTCCCTTTTGTTATTGAATTTTGAGATATGATTTTAACTTTGATTGGTGTGTGCATATATATATATATATATATCTATTTATTAATTTTTATTTTTTTGCCCATTAACAGCTATTGGGCACATATCTCATACTGAAAAGGTACTTGCTTTTGTCAGTTTATGTTTTTCTTTTTAGTTCACTTGTGGAGAGTTATATAATTCTTACACGAAGTTTTGTTTTTGTTAGAATTGGGAGCACGGGAAGTTGTTCTCATTACAAGATCAAATTGATCATAAGGTGTTGTCCTTCTTACTTTATTGGCTTTCAGCGGACTGTTGGCTTGGTGAATAATGTTGAGTAAACTTTTAGAATTTGGCAATATAATTTCTGGTGGAAAACCCTTGTCTCGTGAGGTAAAGAATCTAGGTGAATTAGGCTCATTGACTGTGTGAAGCTTAAGGAAACCTTGTTAATGAATCTGCTTGAGCTTTGGAGAATGCACCAGTAACAGAACTGCGGACCTGAAATTGAAATTCCATCTTAGTGAGAAATTTCCAACTCAATAGTTTTGGTCTTGATTGCCTTTATTTAAGAACTCCAATTTCCCCCCTCCCCCCCTACCCATATAAAGTATTTATGCTTGGAGAAAAGTAGTCTGTTTTTCAAGTATAGTATATTGAAAATTATAATTTCCATTTGATCTTCTCATTGTGCAGGTGGATTTCATCAAGCAGGAACTGCAAAATAATGAACTTCCTATAGTACTGGTAGGAGGCATTTTCTCTTAATGATTTATATTATATTTTCCATAGGAATCCAATCCCTTTGGTTCCTTTCAATTCAAAAAAGATGAAAGTACCATGAAATGCCTGACCAAGATCACATTATATTGGATCAAAATGTGTTTTCATAAACATAATCAATAGATAAATTGGAGCTTTATTTACATTATCACTACCATATGTACAAGGTGTAAAGTGGAAGAGCCAGCTACTTAATTTATGAGTTTTTCTGAATTGAAGTTCTTATCAACTTTAATATTTTCTCTCTGAAGGTTGGGCACTCTATTGGTTCCTACATATCACTTGAAATACTAAGGTTTCTAGAGAAGGTGATGACTGCCTTCTGCGAATTTTCCAGTTCCAGTTTGTGTCCTGATCTCTCATGTTATGCTGAATTAGCTAACTTGCTGCTTGACATTTAACTTTGGCGTTGCAGGTTACATATTTGATAGGACTATACCCTTTTTTAATGTTGAATCCACTATCAAAGCAACAGTCTAATATCGAGAATGTGGCAGAGTAAGGTTTACTTCTATTTTGAGTTTGAGTGACATCATTTCCATCATCCTTCCAATCTTCCTTTACATGCTCTGCTCTCTTATGGAAGCCTATGGCCCTTATATTCAAGTTGCTGATAAAAGACATAGACACTCCAGTGGACACACTGATTGGAACCATCAACAATTGACTGTGTTTTCATGAACCATTAAAAAGTTCATGATTTTTCCACCCATTTCCTCTCCTGGTTACTAGCTTCATGCCCTCAATAATCATTGCCTGTTTGATGAATATTTACTAGGGTTACTTGATAAAAATCTGGCTGGGACATCTTAAGGAAATTATAAATTAATTAATCTAGTCTAATCATCAGCGGTAGAGATTAGCTTTTAGCATGCTGTATGGCCTGGAACCCTGTTTATCCATGTTTAAAATCATGCTCTCGTTTCTAGCCTTAGTTTTGACTTTTGTTAGTGAAGCATTGAGGCACAAGGATTTTATGACTGAAATTTGTGACTTTCAGGTCCTCTATTTTGTCTGCTTTACTTAGTTTCAGTGTAGCATCCTTGGGATTGCTACCTCAGTGCACTTTAAGGTTTATCCTGTCAAAATCTCTTGGGAGTTCATGGTCTGATACTGCTATTGATGCTGCTTGTAGTCACTTGCTGCAGGTAATGGTCATATTCTTTATATGAGATTAAATTGTGGGCCTCATGACTTGCAAACATATTTGCAACAAGCTTTAAACTATTCGTTTTTCTTTTTGTATGGTTCACTATTGCTAATTTTAAAAAACATAAGCTAGGTATCTGCATGTTCTGAGTTTGTTAATTTATATTAATTTGATATTTCATTTGTTCACAGTACCATACCTTCCGAAACATGCTTTACATGGCATTGATGGAATTCAGAAAGGTAATTTTGATTGCTTACAAGATTAATATTTCAAGATATTAGAGTATTGGATCAAAGTATATTGAATTCTTCTTGAAATGTTCTTGTAATGTAGGAACATCATGTCATGTGTTATTATTGTTACTGTTGTACTATAACAAGGTGTTCCATACTGTCATGTCGGGGACACATTTCAGAACCTCTTTCTTTTCATAAAGCCTTCTTAAAATCTGGCCCTCATAGTCAAATGCTTATTTTGCCGAAACATAGTTTATTAGTACTTGGATTTTTATTTTTTTTTCCCTGAAATTTTCACTAAAAAGCCTTTGTTTAACATTTTGTTCATCCACGTACAGGTACAATAAAGCTGATGTTACCTCTTCAAATCCAGAAAAAAGGTTTAAGTGGGTGTCACCCCTCATATTGCATTAAAGTACATTTACAACCAAGGGTTAATCATGGTTCTTTTTATGTTAGCTTTCAGAAATGCCAGATTGGGCTTTCATGAGAGAGAATCACGAGAAAATTGCTTTCTTATTTGGTGTTGATGACCACTGGGGTCCGCTGCAAATGTTTGAAGAGGTGAGTGATGGATGGGTTCATGATTTCTTGTGATGGCTTGTTGTATGCTTGTGTCCTCTTTAAAGCTCATTGTGTACGTGTGCACAACTGACCTGCGTGTTTAGCTCATGGAGAGCATGTTAAATTTGTATGGTGAAGCCTTTGCATAGTTGACCCTTAGGATACTACCTCTTTCTGTTTGCCTTATTCATGTTTGGGACCCTTAGGATGCTACCACATGCATAGTTGATCCTTAGGATACTATGATTTGGTATGAACACAGCCTACAGTGAACTAGAGAAACTATAAATTCTATTTTCAAATCAGAGGGTTTTAGCACAAGATAAACAAAGGAGAGAGGACTGCATAAGTCAGTTCTGAAACATCATGGCAGAGTATCTTACTGAATTTTAAGGAATATAAAGTAAGAGTATGAACAACAAGAATTCTCCAGTTATCATGCTGATTTCAATAAGTGTCTTTGGACCTCTATTTTGTGGGGGATCTTCCATAATTGAATGTCTTAAAAGACTTATGTGATTCTTTATTTCACACCACCAGTTTTTTTTAAGGTGTAGAGAATAAATCTCAATCACAATTTATCCACTTAAGAATACTGATGCTTACAGATTTGTAAAACTGACACATGCCAGTTTTAACTAGTTTTGTTATCAAGTGTTAGAGAATATAATAAATCATATCTTGAAGTCTCACCTAACAGCTTAAATTATTAAGTTGAAATGATATTTTAATATGTTATTAGAGCAATGGGCAAAGCCCGCATCAACCTTTTATCTAATAAATACGCCCCTTCTAGAAGTAAGGGTTTGTTGCACGTATTAGCTCTAGAATTACTACGGTTTTTCATTGTTACTACCTCCTTGTGTCAAGATAGGGTAATTTGCGTGCTTGTGGCCATCTTTGGATAGTAGGATAAAGGCTTACCATGGTGGTGATGGGTGTTGGAGAATTAGGGTTTAATTCCGAAGAGGGAGCTTGAGAAACGACTACCACATCCATTAGAGGGCAAGTCTAGTGCTAGCAGTTGTGGTAATTCCAATTTCAATAATGTATATTTAAGTAGTTATAGTTAAAAAGCTCGTGGTTGGATTTTAGGCTGAGTTGGTCGGTCTGTCTTAGGTTTGACTGGTCGCCTCATCTCTTCTATCGACGATGCACTCCTGACCTTAATTGGTCGGGTCGTGCCTCCTTTGAAGAAATTAGAGTGCTTAAAGCAAACCTGTATTCTGATGTCATGTCAAAGAATTAATTCAATCCAATAACTTAAGTTTTTAGGTTGAGATAGTTTTGTAATATGGTATTGGAGCCTTATTGATCAAGCGGTTATGAGTTTTAAACTCATTATCCCCATTCAATTTGATAAAAATTGAGCACAATATAGTGTGTTTGTGCAAGTTTTAAGTTCAAAAAGCTTTCACTAGAAGAGATTTGTGATAAAATTATATAAATTATATCTTGATCTCATCTAATAATTTAAACTATTGGGTTGAAATGATTTTTTAATACCAAACAAGCATACATTGTGAGAAAATGGTGTGGCAGATATATATCTTACTTGGGGAATAGTGATTCCAAGTTGTAAGCAATATTAAAGCCTTAGGTAGGATTGGATAAAGATTGCAAAATAGTGAACTTTACTGCACTATTTATGGTGATGATGGATCACTGTGAGTCTGCTTCATGATGTTTACTACTCTTTCTTATCAACTTGCTTCAAGAAACTGAGCTTTTGCTTCAATATATTAAGCTACACTGTTTCTGCCTTCGGTTTAGCATTCTTCAGTTTCACTTTCCAGGCTTTGTTCAACTCACTTTCATGCTCACAGATTTCGAAGCAGGTTCCTGGTATTTCTCTATCAATTGAAAGGGAAGGCCATACTCATAGTTTCTGTTGCACTGAGGCTGGCTCAGAATGGGTTGCCCACCATGTAGCGAGCTTGATTAAGAAAAAAATATCAAGCTGAGGTAAAAAGGTCAACTGCCTTTTCATTTTTCTGATTTACAGTCATCTATTGTCCCTGATTTACAGGGAAGTTGGACAGCTGATCGCACCGACTCCCATTCTTTTACAGGCGATCACTCTTGAAAGCTGACCTCGTTCCTATATTTTTGATGACTCGTCAACCATGTAATTTCAACAGTGATCGTCTTGTTTTTGCTTTGAAAAACTTGTCTATGCAACTGCTATGTTCATGGCATTGATTGGCAGTCAAATTCCACATTAGCTCGAACTACGTATATTATCTTGACTACAACCAGGAAAACAAGATCTAAATATGAAGCTTAAGATTCAACACTGAGTAAATTGTCATGTACAAATACTGTTTGCATTTCTTCTGCAAATGTGCCATTAACCAGATGCATTTAGCCCCACCTTTCACGTTCTCTTTTCATCAGTCATCATGATGTTTGATGGAGCGGACTGTAACTACTTGATATACTGTAGAGGCAATTTGAGCGCCTTTACGCTGTTTGTTTTTCTGTATCTTTCTAACTTCTGAGGTAATTAGAGTCGCGACGAATTTGCTTGCTGGTTGGCCGAACAGGTGAAGTCTTTGCATATTTCAACAATGCATTACAACATGGTATTTATTATTTAGAAATATATTAAAATAATTTTTTTTATTTTTAAAAAATTAACGATCAAAAAATATAAAAAAAAGATATTTTTTTAGCAAAAGAAAAAAAAACTTGAAATTTGAGGGAAACCGCGTTCCTAAAAGGTCTTTACCTTCAACCTCAACTATTATAAGAGTTATTATAAGAGTATTATGTTTAGTATAATGAGAAATTATTTTTTAAAATGTTTTTTATTTGAAAATATATGGAAATAATTTTTTTTATTTTTAAAATTTTATTTTTGATATCAGTTCATTAAAACATTTTGAAAACACAGAATAAAATTTAAAACAAAAATAAAATAAAATAAAATTTAATTTAATTTTTTTAAAACACAAAAATAAACAATTTCTATTCTTGAGCATCTCCAATGGAGAAGCTAAATGGATAGCCAAAAATAAAAAATTAATATTTTGGTTTTTCTTTGTTTATTTTGCACACTCCAATGGAAAAGCCAAATAAAATGTTGAAATGCCTTTTCTCTCCCACAAATGTTATTTCTACATATCGATCAAAAAATATAAAAAAAAGATATTTTTTTAGCAAAAGAAAAAAAAACTTGAAATTTGAGGGAAACCGCGTTCCTAAAAGGTCTTTACCTTCAACCTCAACTATTATAAGAGTTATTATAAGAGTATTATGTTTAGTATAATGAGAAATTATTTTTTAAAATGTTTTTTATTTGAAAATATATGGAAATAATTTTTTTTATTTTTAAAATTTTATTTTTGATATCAGTTCATTAAAACATTTTGAAAACACAGAATAAAATTTAAAACAAAAATAAAATAAAATAAAATTTAATTTAATTTTTTTAAAACACAAAAATAAACAATTTCTATTCTTAACCACAAGTAGTTAAAAGTGATAACCCCCACAACACTCCATCTACAACATCCCAAAATACTAAACACCAGCAGTTAAAAGTGATAACCCCCAAAACACTCCATCTACAACATCCCAAAATACTAAACCTACACACACAACACACACAAACTTACTCATTGAGAATTTGAGATGTTTTTAAGAGGAGGCATGGATATAATTATTCGGATAGATGATAAAGAGGATAATTCATTCTAAGAACGCGCATTTGATTTGCCTAGGCTATCTGGCTAAGGAGCCTCGAAAACTAACTCCTGTTCAGGGTCCTTATAATGACTCAGGCAAGATCTTTGATGCGGGGCAGAAAAATAAAAAACACTTGCAGCAAGAATTAGAATCATCCCCCGAGCAGTTCTTTCGAAACAAAAAAGAAATCAGGGATGTCAGCAGAATCTCAAGATCACTGGCTGAAAATCGGTTAATTTTAGATTGTTCCCATAACCACCCCGTGACTTCGATTTTCTGGACAAGAAATATTGTTTGACGGCCCACTTTTGTCCGTATACTTGTAAACACAGTAAAAGCCACCACCAATATGGACGAGGAGAATGTGCAAGTGGGTATGGGTATGATTTTTATATCTTGCTCGACGGCAGAGGAGGCTGCTTCCCTCCATTCGTGGTCAAAGTTGAGCATACCAACATGTTTTCACAGTTGTTTACCGATATCATTTCTGCTAAAATACATGTGATTCCAGTCCATGCCTGTGGGTTTCGTTCCCTGCTTGGCATTGCTGCGAGCATTAGTTTCAGCAGCCCATGAATAATGCCTGGCTCCCGCTGCATCAGATTCCGTACTTCATTGAAAAAAGAGCGTCCTCGAACCCTAAAACTTCTCCCTATATGAGAACCCATCACTTGCCTGCTTAATCAGTTGTTTATTGATATTTTTTTTAATATTTTTAATATTATTATATAAAATGATTTAAAAACATCTAAAAAATATTCATTTAAATTAAAAAATTAATTTTTTAAAAATATTTTGAAGTCATAAAAAACAAATACTATTTTAGAAGCACTAGAAACTCGGTTTACTGACAAATCCAATGGAACCCCATTTGGGCATCGGTCTGCCCCCTGAAGATGCAGTTAGTGTACCCTTTTTTTTAAGCCAAGATATTGGATGCCAATGATTTCAGAAGAGGAAAGATTTTGAACCCAATTTTGTCTCTACTGCCCGTGCCTCTTTATCTCATTTGTCAGACTTAGACTGACAATAACTCTCCAAGCTAACACTCTTTTTTTTTTTTTTTATTTATTCG